GTGAACTTGAAGTGACCATACGCCGGTGCGATCCCGCCCGCCGTCACGTGCGTCGTCGCCGAGAGCCCTCCACCACTTCGTAGAGGAGAGCGACGTCGTTCGTCGACGTCGGCACGCGAGCTGCCTGCAGCCGCCGTCGACCGCTGCACTCGCGCCTGACTCCCGTCGACGCCACTGTCGACCTTGATCACCCCTCTCTCCTTCGTGCCCTCGCTGTCGCTGACTCGTGCACCGCCGTCGACCTCCTCGTCGACGCCACCTTTGTTTCGCACCGGTCGAGGAGATGCAGGTCGTGACGGGTGTTCCGTCGCCCACTGCGCACGGATGCCCAGCTCGATGATCCCCAGAGGGAGGGTCGACCCGTACTCGGCAGCCTCGTGGCGTCTCCTCGCATCAGCCAAACGAGCCTCCAAGGTGTCCGCTACGCCCGCTTCTACTACGGGGTCGACCATGGCGACTAAAATGGCTGTCAGCCTACGAACGACTTAGTAGGTGCAAAAGTCGGCTCTTATCTGAAGGTAATCTGCGGGGCCGTCCACGCTCACCGCACCATGCGGAGAGTCACTCTACAATAGTCGTGAGCTAGACTACAGGGTGTTGGCACGAACTCTAGGAGTGATCGTAGCTTTGCTTAGTTCCTTAGCACATGCACAATCACGGGAGAGTTTTGCAAGAGTTCCCACTAGCAAAGATTGCATTACAGAATGATTGAACATAACAATGACAAGAATGACTACATCACGCACCTAGCAACTCTGCAGCTAGCCTGGTCGACCGCCTGCCAGCGTTGCGTAGAGGAGCCGCGCTCGCGCTGCAGAAACGCGGCCTGCCAACACAGCAGGTCGACGACGTGCCAACGCTGGAGCAGAGCGGCTGTCCAGCGTTGCACCCGTAGAAAAAAGCAGTGCGCACGTCCGCATGTGCACGCATACGATTGGCTCGACTTGCACCGTTGTGCATCCGTCGGCCCTGGTCTGCGCCTGATGAGCCACATCGAATTCGGGATAACAGCCCGAAGTCGCCTTCGTCACCGTGACCTCGAGGACGTTCGCGTGCATCCGCAGAACTCGCCGAGCAGGTTACCTGGTCGACCTGGTCGACCACCCTGTGCTCTGGTCGACGCCTCTCTCGTCGACCACATCTCCCGTCGAGGAGCACCCTGGTCGACGAACCCCTCCGTCGACCAGCACTGTCAGCTGCTCCTCCTGGTCGACGGCCCGTCCGTCAACCAGCCCAGTCAGCTGCAGCCGTCGAGCTCCCCTGGTCGACGACTCCAGCCCCGCGACAGTCCTGTGCAAGTCGACGACCACCTCGTCGGCCTGCCCCTCAGAAGAAGGCCGTCGAGCTCCCCTAGTCAACGGCAACACCGCAGCGATCCCCTGCAGCTCAACGAAGCACGTCGAGCAGCTCCCTCACTGCGTACGGTCGGCTGCTTCTCCCGTACATCCGACTAGGACGTCGGCGTCGCCCAAGCAAGGGCAGTGCCAACACTTCATTCCCGTTAACAATCTCGACGTCCATTGTTGCTATCCACTGCAAGACCACCGGTTCCAATATCGCCCTAGTGTAGGTGCGAGGAGTCGGGATGTTAAGAGTGTATGGGTCACCCTTTGGGACTAGCAGCATGGCATAGAAATAAGGAGCAGTGGCAGCAAGGAAATCTAGCTCAAACTGCCTGTCCTCTAGGGCGTCACAGCCAAGGGCAAACTCATTCCCGATGGTCGGAGGATGGGCAGCGTTGGTGACCAACTGAGCAGCATGGTCCACCCGACTGCCCGAAAGCCGCCCTTCGCACCCGTTATAGTTAATTCGAATACAGTGTCATGCCATGCAGGCTGACCAACGCCATCGCCACTTTCCAGATGACGATGAACGAGGCTTTCCACCTGCTCTTGGATAAGTGCGACATCGGCTACCTAGATGACATACTGTTAACAGCCCCGACAGAGCACAGCACCTACAGGAAATCGAAGCAGTTTTCAAGATTTTAGCTGAGAACGACCCATTGACCAAAGCCTCAAAGTGTGAGTTTTCACACGACAAACTGGAACTTTTTGGCCACGTAATTCTGGTCAACAGCGTGGAAATAGACCCGAAGAAGATCGCGACGATTCAGGCTTGGCACGCGCCGACAAACCTGGTCGAGCTGCAAAGTTTTATGGAGTTTGTCAACTACGTGAGTTGGTTCGTCCCCAACATGGTGAAGCTTATTGCCCGGCTGACCGACCTGCTGAGGAAGGGGGTTGAGTACACTTGGGGGGAGAAAGAGAAAGCTGCCTTCTCGGCCCTAAACAATATTTTGTGCTCGCCGTCCGTATTGCACATCGCTGATCTTCACCGTTTGTTTGAGCTCGTCACTGACGCAAGCGACATCGCCGTCGGAGCCGTACTGTTGCAGGACTTTGGGAGTGGCCTTCAGCTAATCGCGTCCGAGTCCCGCAAGCCTCACCCGCCCGAGCGCAACTACCCAATAGACGACCGCGAAATGTTGGCGATCGTGCACGCATTTAAGGTGTGGAGGTGCGACATGACAGGAGCGAACTTGATAGTACGAATAGACCATCGCTCGCTACAGCACCTTTGCGCCCAACCGAATATCAACCCGCGACAGATACGGTGGTTAGACTATATGGAGTCCACCTTTCACAATACCGTATTGTACAAAAAAGGAGCATGCAAATATCGCCGACGCCCTCACCTGCCCCACAACCCAACTACATGCTATACTACTCGCCCAAACCAATCCGATACTGACCGGACTACCGCACCAACCCATATTCAACCACTGGTGACTCGAAGCAACTAACAGAGGCTAAAGGAGTCTATTAGATAAAAATTGAAACCAACCACAGCTGGGTACCAGCAGACTCACTACTACGGGAACTGCTACTGCAAGAGGCACACGACGGAATTAGTTCGGGTCATTTCGGGGTTGAAAAAACGAGACAGCAACTGCAGCGGTATTACTATTGGCCGGAGCTGTTGACCGACGTACAGCACCACGTGGGATCATGCCCCACGTGTCAGGTGATGAAAAGCTTGAGCAAAAAGGAAGCCAATATTGCTGCCCGAGGGCGCCTGGCAGCAAGTAACAATGGATTTTGTCACGGGGTTATCCGTGCGTCCCGGTGGTAACGACGCGGTCATGGTCGTCGTACGAATGGCGAATCACGAATGACGAATGACGAATGACAAATCACGAATGGCGAATGACGAATGAGGAATGGCGAATGGCGAATGACGAATGACGAATGACGAATGGCGAATGGCCACTGACGAATGACGAATGGCGAATGACGAATGACGAATGGCGAATGACGATGACGAATGACGAATGGCGAATGATGAATGGCGAATGGCGAACGACGAATGGCAAATGGCGAACGACGAACGACGAATGACGAGTGGCGAACGACGAACGACGAATGACGAGTGGCGAACGACGAACGACGAATGGCGAATGGCGAACGACGAACGACGAATGACGAATGGCGAACGACGAATGACGAATGACGAATGGCGAATGACGAATGGCGAATGGGGAGCGAGGGAGGAGTGGGGAGCAGGGAGTGAGGCAGGAGTGGGGAGCAGGGAGCGAGGCAGGAGAGGGAGCAGGGAGCAAGGCAGGAGTGGGGAGCAGGGAGCGAGGCAGGAGAGGGGAGCAGGGAGCGAGGCAGGAGTGGGGAGCAGGGAGCGAGGCAGGAGTGGGGAGCAGGGAGCGAGGCAAGAGTGGGGAGCAGGGAGCGAGGCAGGAGTGGGGAGCATGGAGCGAGGCAGGAGTGGGGAGCAGGGCATAGATGCAGAGGGCGGCCAACACCGTGGAGCAAGAGCCAACTCAGTCTTGCCCAACTCCCTTGACTCCCTTGACTCCCTTGACTCCCTTGACTCCCCTGACTCCCCTGACGCCATGCGCTGATGCCATGAGAGCAAGGCTCACTTGTCGGAGCAGCAGCTTGGGCACGGGGCAGCGCAGAAAGAGGTCTGACAGACCCGTGTACCTGTGGGGCATATGCACATGCATGCATGCACACATGCATACGCACACATGCACATGCATATGCACACATGGACGTGCACACATGCGCATCCCACATGCACATGCATACGCACACATGCACGTGCACACATGCACATCCCACATGCACATGCATACGCACACATGCTCATGCACACATGCACATCACACATGCACATGCATACGCACACATGCACACATGCGCATGCACACATGCACGCGAACATGCACATGAATACATGCGAAGGTTGAATGCATACATGCATATGGGCACACTGATGAGCCAAATGTGAGGCAGGATGCAAACAGCAGCGCTGGCTAAAAAGCACAAGTGGGGATGCTGGCAGAAACTGCGACGAGAAAGGCAGGTGAGACATGTCAGCCAATCCAACCATGCCACACTCCGCTTTCTCGTCAGAACCAGCACTCACCAACCAATCCCTTGCCAAGAAAAGGTTTTAGCAAATTGTGCCCATCCCAAGCATGCATGTCCACATCCCAAGCACCCCATTTTGCGAGCAGTACGCAATGCATGCCCAGCAAGCAGCACGATACAAACAGCATGCACGCATGTGTGTGCATGCGTGTGCACGAACATGTGTGCACGTATGTGTGTGCATGCATGCACGCACGCACCATCCCTTCCAGTAGGGCTGAGATTTCTCCAGGGGGGTGCGCCACACAAACCTGCACAGGGGCGGGTGGAGGAACGGGTGTGAGAGAGGAATGGGTGAGAAAGAGAGTGGACGAGAGATTGGGAATGGATGAGAGAGTGGGAATGGAAAAGAGAGAGGAGAAGGGGCAATAGAACAGAGGCATTCAAGGGGTCGAGAACGGTCTAAAACACATCTTACCGTGCCTCCCCATGCCTCACCCATGCTCCCCTACCCCTTCGACCATGCCTCCTTATATCGCACCCATGCTTCCTCACGCATCTGTCTTTCCCCTGCTGTGTGCTGCTCTACCCTTCCTGTCTGTTCACTGCTCACCCCTTCCATGCGGCGTCTGGTACGAGGGTGGGTGGCACTGAGACACGCGCCGACTCAACGCTCCTCAGATGCCCCGACCGCACACTCCACTCCACCTGCCGTCGCAACACAGTGCGAGCGAGGAGAATGAAACATGTGGCAGAGAACATACGCTAGGAAGGATAGGGAGGGTAAGGAGAGGAGTAAAGGGAGAATGAGAAAGACAGAAAGGAGAGAGGGGGAGGAAGAAGTGCAAGAGGGGGAGAAATTATTCCATACAGCAGCAAAGAGGAAGGCACGGACAGGGGGAAGTGGGCATGCGACGTTCAGAAGCGCATGCGCTGCATGGTGCTCACGACTTTGTAGAGCGATGGGAAGTGTGAGGGGCGTGACGCCAGCACTGCCTGCATGTGGCCCAGCGATGCCACGGCGCTGCCCTACCGTGTACCATGCAGGGCGGGCGCAGGACAAGGGGGCGGTAGAGCAAGAGGTGGTAGAGGGAAGGGGTAGAGGGTGGTGAAGGGGCACACACTCACTGACTTGACACACTGGCATCAAGCAGCATGGCGAAGCGCAAACCCGTGATCCCATGAGCCAGTAGGCCTGACATCATGAATCGACGAGGCCGTTAGGCAATGTGAGGCAGTGAGGCAGGGACGCAGGGGGGCAGGGAAGCAGAGATACAATGGGGCAGTGTAAGGCAGGGAGGCGGCAGGGAGGCAGCAGGGAGGCGGCACGGAGGCGGCACAGAGGAGGCAGGCAGGAGGCAGGGAGGAGGCAGGTGGGGACAGATAGGAGGCAGGTGGGGGCAGGGAGGAGGCAGGTGAGGGCAGGGAGGAGGCAGGTAGGGGCAGGGAGGAGGCAGGTGGGGGCAGGGAGGAGGCAGGTGGGGGCAGGGAGGAGGCACGTGGGGGCAGGGAGGAGGCAGGTGGGGGCAGGGAGGAGGCAGGTGCGGGCAGGGAGGAGGCAGGTGGGGGCAGGGAGGAGGCACGTGGGGGCAGGGAGGAGGCACGTGGGGGCAGGGAGGAGGCACGTGGGGGCAGGGAGGAGGCAGGTGGGGGCAGGGAGGAGGCAGGTGGGGGCAGGGAGGAGGCAGGTGGGGGCAGGGAGGAGGCAGGTGGGGGCAGGGAGGAGGCAGGTGGGGGCAGGGAGGAGGCAGGTGGGGGCAGGGAGGAGGCAGGTGGGGGCAGGGAGGAGGCAGGTGGGGGCAGGGAGGAGGCAGGTGGGGGCAGGGAGGAGGCAGGTGGGGGCAGGGAGGAGGCAGGTGGGGGCAGGGAGGAGGCAGGTGGGGGCAGGGAGGAGGCAGGTGGGGGCAGGGAGGAGGCAGGCGGGGGCAGGGAGGAGGCAGGCGGGGGCAGGGAGGAGGCAGGCGGGGGCAGGGAGGAGGCAGGCGGGGGCAGGGAGGAGGCAGGCGGGGGCAGGGAGGAGGCAGGCGGGGGCAGGGAGGAGGCAGGCGGGGGCAGGGAGGAGGCAGGCGGGGTCAGGGAGGAGGCAGGCGGGGGCAGGGAGGAGGCAGGTGGGGGCAGGGAGGAGGCAGGTGGGGGCAGGGAGGAGGCAGGTGGGGGCAGGGAGGGGGCAGGTGGGGGCAGAGAGGAGGCAGGTGGGGGCAAGGAGGAGGCAGGTGGGGGCAGGGAGGAGGCAGGTGGGGGCAGGGAGGAGGCAGGTGGGGGCAGGGAGGGAGAGAGGGAGGCACCTCGACGACGTCGACGACCACGAGGCCTGCCAGCGATGGCAGCAGCTGCTGCTCCGCCACCCGCACTGCCACCGCCCCCCCCATGCTGCCATGCACCACGCGCCATGTGCCATGCCCCGCCCACACACGGAAGCGAGGGGGAGGGGGACACGGAGCAAAGCAGATGAATGAAGGGGGGAAGGAGGAGTGGAAGAATTAGAGGTGCCTGCCCTCTCCCGCTCACCTGTGACCTATGTGACGAAAAACACGTTCAGCGTTTTGAACGCTGGCGTTTAAACGCAGCGTTTTAAACGCTGAACGCAGAATGGTTGGTTCCTGAAACGCAGAAAAAACGCAGGGGCGGGCAGGGTAAAAAAAACGTGCGGGCAGGCCAAAACACATCTCACAGGGCATTAGGAGGAGGGGGAGATGGACATAGGACGTCATTGGCTTGGCTTGCTAACGAAGTCCTAAACCCCTAGGGTTTCCGAAAGAGAATTTGTGAAACCTAGAAATGAGGAGCACAATGAAGAGGTGGGCCACAATGGTTGGACGTTACAGTTGTAGAGTAGTTGAGTGAGTTTGTGGCATCAAATTTGGTTGGGGGGTTAGGGAGTTTGGTTGGGGGATTAGTTGTAGGGGCTGATTTCGTTTGGGAGGGGTATCAATTTTGCGCCAGTGAGCGTCGAAATCGCGAATGTCAATTTTGGGGGCGCGGAAATTTGTTTTTTTTCGGTCTACCCAAAACAATTTCACCCAAGCGTTTCGCGTTTCCTGGTGCGTTTTGTGTTTTGCGTTTTTTCAGGTGCGTTTAAACGCAAAACGAAAGGCTGCCCCTTCGTTTTTCTCCACTTAGCCTGTGACCCAGTAGCACCGTGCCTGCCCGCTCACCTGTGACCCAGGAGCACGATGGCGGGAGGTGAGTCACCAAAGAGCTTCCTTGCCACGCCTGCCACATCCTCCACCAGCGTCTGCCGTGGCATGGTGGGGCCATGCACGCACGCACATGCACGCACGCACATCGCACGTACATGCACACACGCACATGCACACACACACATGCACACACACACATGCACGCACAAACCAAAGCAAACAAGCACAGAGCACAGAGCACAGAGCATAGAGCACACAGAGCACTGAGGAGAGAGCAAAGTACACATGGCTGCATAGATGTGTGCATGCACAATGGCTGGCAGCGTCATGCACGTGAGCATGATACCTGGGCGGAGAGGCACCTGGACGGAGAGGCACCTGGACGGAGAGGCACCTGGACGGAGAGGCACCTGGGCGGAGAGGAAACCTGGACGGAGAGGAAACATGGGCGGAGAGAGAGGCACCTGGGCGGAGAGGAAACCTGGGAGGAGAGGAAACCTGGGCGGAGAGAGAGGCACCTGGGCGGAGAGGAAACCTGGGCAGAGAGGAAACCTGGGCAGAGAGAGAGGCACCTAGGCGGAGAGGAAACCTGGGCGGAGAGGAAACCTGGGCGGAGAGGAAACCTGGGCGGAGAGGAAACCTGGGCGGAGAGGAAACCTGGGCGGAGAGGAAACCTGGGCGGAGAGGAAACCTGGGCGGAGAGGAAACCTGGGCGGAGAGGAAACCTGGGCGGAGAGGAAATCTGGGCGGAGAGGAAACCAGGGCGGAGAGGTCGAGGTCGTTGGCGGTGCGTGTGGCGCCGTGGCCGCGCATGTCCATGGCCACCACTTGCACCTCGCCCCTCATGTGGGGGGGGTGTTGTGTGCTGTGCTGAGCAAGCACGAGCAGCGTGCTGACCTCGGAAGTGGGCTCGAGCACGTGCTTGCGCAATGAGTGAGTAAAGCTTTAACGAGGCAGCAGTGTGGTTGTAACGGGGAAAGGGGCGGTTGAGGCGTGGGTGCACCCACCCGGCATAGCCGCCCCCATGCAGGCACAGCAGCACGGGCCCTGTGCGCCCCGCCCTGTACACGTGGAATACCTGGCCCCACAGGCAAAGGGGGGAGTGGGGGGGAAGGGAATAGACAGCAGAAGTGAGGCGGGAGAGGGATGTGTGAGCAGGCGGAAAGGCATAAGGCACTAGCAGATGAGGAGTGGACACAGGGGCGGGCAGAGAGGGGCGGATAGAGGAGGGGCGGACAGCAGAAGAGGGGTGGGCATTGAGTGGGAAGCAACACGACAGGCAGTGCTGTCATCCATGCTCAGTGCTGACTCACATCGCCGTTGGCCACGGTCACGTAGTCCTCCTCTTCCAAAAACTCCTGCCACCCCACATGCTCAAACTTGCTACGAATTTTGAGGTGTCAGAATGAGAGAAGGATGATGAACTAACAACATTGGGAGTACAAGTAGTAAAACCTAGAATGTTGTACCCCCTAAGGCTAAACCCACTATAGCCTACAGAATAGAAACATATACAATGTTTGACACATCCCCATAGGCTAAGTGGGAGACAACCAGATGGTCACAAGACCAGTCAAAACAAAGCAAAGCAAAGCACAGCTCAGGGTGGATCTCAAGGATACCACACAAATTCCGAGCACAAGCAAGCGGTCACAAGACCAGTTCACATGCAGGTTGATAATGCAACAAGAAATACAGTGATCACAACCTAGCCAGTGTAAACATGCAGGTAGATATATATAAGGATCACAGTACAAGCAGAGTCAGGAAGTAAGCAAGTGAGGCACAGTAGGCACAAAGCCTAGAACAGTACAGAAACGCTGATGATCACAAGGCTGAAGCGCCTTGGTGAACACATCAGCAGTGTTGGCCCGACTGGCCACGTAAGCAAGACGAAGCTGACCACGCTGCTGCAACTCTCGAGCAAGGAAGTAGCGCAGAGCGATGTGCTTCGTTCTGTGCTCCAGTCTGTGCTCCTGACACAAGGCAATCATGGCCTTGTTGTCGACGTACAGAACTGGAGGAGAACGAGGCGGCTCTCCAAGGTCAGTCAGCAGGTAGGTGAGCCAGCGTAACTCCTGTGCAGCCATGGCCCCTGCGTAGATCTCAGCCTCACAACTGGAGCTGAGAACAGAAGACGAGCGGGTAGACCGCCAAGAAACAGAGCCGGAGCCAAGGCTGAAGGTGTAACCCTGTGACGACCGCTGCGTAGTCAAGTCGTCAGCCCAAGAAGCGTCAGCGTGACCAGTGAGGACAACTCGAGCCCGTCCTCCAAGCACAAGCCCCATGCCCGACGTACTGCACAAGTAGCGCAACACCCTCTTAGCGGCATCCATGTGCTCCTTCCGGTGACGGCCAGGATCGACATAGCGTGCTAGGATGCTAAGAGGGTATGCAAGGTCAGGTCGAGTGCAGGTCATCAGGTACATGAGGCAGCCCACAAGCTCTGGGTACGGGCCACTCGGCTCTACGGACTCGTCCGAAGGTGGAGCTGAGAGCGAGTGACCGGTAGGCAGAGGAGTGGACTGAGGCGAGGAGTACGTGAAGCGGAAGCGCTGAAGGACCTGCTGCACCATGTGTGACTGAGTCAAGGTGATGGTGCGCTGTGCTCTGTCCCGGGTGATCCGCAAGCCAAGATAGCTTGTCAGCTCACCCAGGTCTGTGCACGTGTGTCTCTTCTGCAGCTCCGACTTCACGTGGGCGAGTGCCTCATGTCAGAATGTTGTATTTGTCTAGCCTGCAGTGGGGTACTCTATAGCGAGTACAGCCCAATCTAGGGTTTCCTATATGTACTCAACTGCTTGCTAGTGAAACCCCTCCTTTCTTCATTCTTACTTTCTACTACTGGTTCTGACATGGTATCAGAGGGCGGCATGTCTGCCGCCTTCCTGTGTATGGGCCCACGACCCGCTTCCGCTGCCGTACTGTCCGCCGCGCGCCCCGTGGTGCGCGGCGGCGAAACCCTAATTTCTGCCCGCCGCGCGCTCGGGGCGCCTGGCGGTTTTCCCTTCCGTGGCGCCCGTCGTGGTGCCCTTGGGGGGGCCTCCGCGGTCCCCTCCCGTCGAAGCGCCCGTCAAGGCGCTCTCGGGGACCCGCGCGGCCTCCCCCCCTGTCGCCCGTCGAGGCGACCTCGGGGACCCGCGCGGCCTCCCCTCCCGTCGCCCGTCGAGGCGACCTTGGGGGCCCGCGCGGCCTCCCCACCAGTCGCCCGTCGTGGCGACCACGGGGGCCGCGCGCGGCCCCCTCCCGTCGCCCGTCGAGGCGACTTCGGGGGCCGTGCGCGGCGCCCTCCCCGTCGCCCGTCGTGGCGACTTCGGGGGCCGTGCGCGGCCCTCCCCGTCGCCCGTCGAGGCGACTTCGGGGGGCCCGCGCGGCGCCCTCCCTGTCGCCCGTCGAGGTGGCTCTGGGGGCCCGTCGCGGCGCCCTCCCTGGTGCCCGTCGCGGCGCCCCGGGGGGGGGCCGCGCGGCTCCCTTCTCGTCGCCCCTCGGGGCGCCCTGGGGGCCGTGCGTTTTCCCCCCCCGCGGCCGCCCCTGGAGCCGCCCGCCACTGCAGCAGCAGCCCCTGGAGCCGCCCGCACCTGCAGCAGCCGCCCCTGGAGCCGCCCGCCAGTGCAGCAGCCGCCCCTGGAGCAGCCCGCACCTGCAGCAGCCGCCCCAGGACCCGCGCGAGCCGCCTCTGCAGAAGCCCGCCCCGTCCCCCCCCCCCCCCCCCCCCCCCCCCCCCTGTTTTCTCTGCCCCTGCGCTGCCCGCTGTCCCCCGTGCTTCTGACGGCGCCCCACCCCTGCTTCTGCCCGTTCTCCTGAATTAGGGTTTGGGGGTGGGGGGTATGGGGGTGCAGTTTCTGTGCGTCGTCCCCTACTCCTCCTCCTCCGTCTCCCAGTGGTGCAGCTGCCGCTGAGGGGGGTGGGTGTGTGGGAGCCGAAGGAGTGGTACTAGGGGGGTGACGTGCAAGTGGAGTTAGGAGTGAAGCAGTGGGTGTGTGGGGGGTGTGTGGGACAGTTGGAGGAGGTTGAGCGGAGGCTGCTGTCTTGTCGTCCGCAGCACCTGTAGTCCGGGGCGCACTGTCCTGGTAGCCCAGAGAGTCTGCTGCGCCTGTCGCCCGAGGGTCCGTTGCTCCTGTAGCTCGTCGTAGCCCGTCAGCCAGTTACTCCAGTAGTCCGGGGCGCACTGTCCCGGTAGCCACTGTGCCAGCAGCTCCTGTTGCCCGTGTGTCTGCAGCTTCAGCCGCCGTCTCTCATCTTCTCTCCTGTCACAGTCCCTCCTCCTCCTCACTTGCCCGCTGTGATTACCTCTAGCTTTGCTTCTTATTGTGAACTCCTGCTATACCTGCTCATTGTGCTGATTACACCCCACTTTGGCTATGGGGGTGTGTCAGAATGTTGTATTTGTCTAGCCTGCAGTGGGGTACTCTATAGCGAGTACAGCCCAATCTAGGGTTTCCTATATGTACTCAACTGCTTGCTAGTGAAACCCCTCCTTTCTTCATTCTTACTTTCTACTGCTGGTTCTGACACTTTGTGTCTGCAGTAGCAAAGACCAAGTCGTCTACGTACACGAGAACGTAGAACGGCGGCAGAGTGGTGTCGGTGCGTAGAAACAGTGACGGGTCAGCAGTGGAAGGAGCAAACCCAAGAGCAGTAAGAGTAGTCCTCAGTGTGTCGTGCCACTCACGGGGTGCCTGGCGGAGACCGTAGACTGGCCGCCGGAGGCTCCACTGGGTACCAGCAGGAAACGACCCAGTGAAGCTAGGTGGGCGGCGCAGCCAGATCTCCTCGTGCAGGCTGCCCTGTAGAAAAGCAGTGCTGAAGTCAAGAGAGTGGAGCTCGTAGTCACGCTGAGCAGCGACGTGCAGCAGAACCCGAAGAGTAGTCATCTTCGGGGTAGGAAAGAAGGTCTGGAAGAAGTCAACTCCCTCACGCTGACTGAAGCCTCGTGCAACGTAACGCGCCTTGAAGAAAGGCGGAGAACCCGGCGGCCGCTTCACCCTGAAAATCCACATGCCACTGACGATGTTCGCCCCAGGCGGGGGAACCTCGTCGACGTAGGTGCCTGTGGACTTCCAGGAAGCCATCTCTGCGTCCATGGCTGACTGCCACTAAGAGGAGTAGGGACCCTCTATCGCCTCTGCGTAAGAGCGCGGGGTCGGGATGTCTGGTGCATCCGGGTCTCCCTCAGGGGCAATCAGCATGGACACGAGATGAGGTAAAGCAGCGGCAAAGCACTCAAACTCCTCCTGTCTGTCCTCAAGGACGTCCGTGCCAAGGGCACACTCACCCCCGACGGACGGAGGACAGACAGACTCAGACTCAGACTCAGCAACAAGGCTAGCGGCGTAGTCTAGACGACAGGCGGCAGCAAAGTCAACAAGCTCAGCGACTAGAGCAGACGCAGCAGTGGACTCAAAGGTAGGGTCAGTGACAACAGTGGCGAGGAAACGCGTGACAGTAGGACTGGCAGCACGAAGGGAGTCAGACTCCGGGTCAGCAAGAGCAGGAAGAGAGGACGCTGGAGGAGACGGCAGAGGGACACGCTGTGGAGCAGTGGAAGGACGCAGAGTCATATAGTGAGTGCCAGGGACAGGAGGAGGACGCTCACGCGGAACACGACGACCAGCGCGGGCAGCACGGACAGGCAACTCCGGACGAGACTCAGGCGACGCAGGACGAGACTCAGGCGACGCAGGACGAGACTCAGGCTCACAACGCTCCGTAAGACCTCTAGTCGGCCCAGCGTAAGGAGAAGGACTAGGCAGCGGAGAGGCAGGCTGTAACTGTGACTGCGACTGGACAGGCGGTGGACTCAGTAGGGGAGGAGTAGGACCAGTAGGGGGCGGGAGGCCAAGAACTTGCTGAAGGAGCGGAACGTAGTACGGCCGCGGCCGCGCAGCTCCTCCTAAACCAGCAGAGACAGCACCAGCGCCCTCAGCTCCAGGGTCTCCAGCTACAACTCCCGCAGCACCACCAGCAGCTCCAGCAGCTCCAGCACCTCCAGCTCCAACTCCCGCAGCAGCTCCAGTCCCAGTAGCTCCAGTACCTCCAGTATGAGCACCTCCAGAACCAGCGGCTCCAGCAGCTCCAGCACCAGCAGTACCTCCAGTAGCTCCAGCACCAGCAGCACCTCCAGCAGCGCCAGCACCAGCAGCACCTCCAGCAGCTCCAGCACCAGCAGCACCTCCAGCAGCACTAGCAGCACCTCCAGCAGCACCAGCAGCACCTCCAGCAGCTCCAGCACCAGCAGCACCTCCAGCAGCTCCAGCACCAGCAGCACCTCCAGCAGCACCACCAGCAGCGGCTCC